AGTTGAGTGGGCAGACACTGGGGCCTGCTGACTGCACTACACTACTACCCAAGGCTGCACAGGCAATGTTGTTGGTGATCAGGGGCAGTGCAGAGCATGTGCTCAGCATAGAGGGCAGAGGTCTAGACTGGAGGATGCTTTGGCACAGAGGTCAGAAGAGGCACGTGAGTGATGGTGGACAGCTGGGGCAAAAATGAACATGACGCAATCTGCTGTCTGTCCAGAGCTTGGAGGGGAGAAAGAGCCAGCAGTGAGCCGGAGGACCAGCAGGTCACTGGCCAAGGTGATTCGATGTATGCACAGAAATTGCCTCCAGCTGACTGACCCAACAGCCAGAAGAGGCTGGACAAAGCCCAAGAGGGCTGGAGAACTAGGTGGGGGGCTAGCGGTCCAGGAACACCAGTCCACAGCCTGCTAACACAGCAGCAGTCCCCGCTGCCACACCACAGCCAGCACCAGCGCCCTGGCCCCTGGGCTTCAGCTAGCCTGTCCGTGGGCCGCAGGTGTGTTGGAGCGGCACCACGAGGAGCAGGAGCTGGTCATAGACTATCAAAACTCCCCCTACTCCACCCTAGCCCCTCTTGTTACCTGACACCCACCCCCCACCCACTTACAAGTGAAGACTCCACTCTGTGTGGTAACAAGAATGCCCAAAGTGAAGGGGGTCACCTTGGCGGGGTCAGATTTTCAGTGGATTAGCAGTGATGCAATGATGTAATTTGCAATTATATATTGATGTAGTCACCTTCAATTTTGTGATCTGATATGATTATTCTCCATTTTCTCCCAATGTTCATTTCTGCATGAAAACCTGGTCTTCCCATAACCTAACCTTGTCCCTGAGTGAAAAGTAGGTGGGCTCAACTCCATCCTGGTAACAAACAAGCTGCCATGGACAGCCCATGAAGGAGTGGGTGTAGCTGTGTGCCAATAAAACTTTATGTACAAACACAGGCAGCAGGCTAGATATAGTCTGCCAACTCCTTAATAGGTAGGGAAGTCTTTCATAAACTCAGAAAGGGGTGTAGATGAGAGGGGCAAAAAGAAGTCATTGTGTATGCAACAGGAAGTGGGGGGGTCCTAGGAGGGCAACGAGGAGCATGTTTGAAATAAAAGCAAAGTGCCATTTTCAGAAAGAGGACAAGGCAATTTCGTGGAGCAGGCTGAGCAGAGTGGGGGGCAGTGGAAAGGGTGGGCTCTGATAGGCCAAAGACTCAGACACGAGTAGGAGGAGCTGAGGTGAAGGGAGGATTTATTGAAGATGGAAAAGTTGAATGCATGCTATTATGGTGATGGGAATGAGTCATAAAGGAAAGAAAACTTCGAGTCTGAGCTCGAGCGAGCATAGAGTCGTCATAGATCATGCCAGCTGGAAGGACAGGAAGTTCTTGTCATCGACTGAGATGTCTGAATTCTAGCTCTGTGGGTGGATTAGTCTTAAGTGATGACAAAGCCCAGGGTGTGACCATGGGAGTGGGTGGCTGAGACCACTGGAGCAAAGGACTCGGGGAGATGGGGAGCCAGGAGTGTGTGTTGGAATGGAAGGGACAGGGAGAGAGAGAAGGGGTGTAGGCCTATGCAGTGCCATGGACGGCTTTTAAATGGACTTGCTCACCAAGGTCTTGTAACTTTTACCAAATGACTGGGTGGGACTATACAATAAGGTGTAGGGAACCCTGAAGAGGGATTGGCCAGTTTTCCCACTCCACTGAAAGCTTAAAATGAGTCCTCCCAGAGATGGTGGTGGTGTGTATGTAAATCTCACTACTACCAAGAGGAGGAGACAGGATTGAGGCATGTCTTTTGGACCTGCGGTCCCTGTGCCGACAACCTCCTGGGCAGAGTGCTCGTGCTGTCACACCACAGAGAGTGCAAGATGGCTAGAGGAACTGCTGCAGCAGGACCAGAAGGCTGGTGGTATGGTGGTGCACTGGGCTTCCTGGCACCAGGAACAAGATGGTTACAGTGGGTGTGCAAACCCATAAAGCAAGAATACTAAGCAAGCACCCTTGAGAAGGAAGTTTCCTGGCAGAATGGGATGCCTCCAGGTGCTCATCAATAGACTTAAGCTTGCCAACCCACAGATCCATGGAACAAGAGATGAGCACCTTTAGGTGGAGGCTTACTAGCAGAGCAGGGTACCTCTGGGCCCAAGAGGCTCAACTGGCTAAGGAACAAGGATCAGGGAGAGGCTTGTCTGTGTTCAAGGCTGAGAAGCTGCCTTGACCAAAGAACTGTGTCCCAAGTTGTTCCTGATCCTGAATTGCAATCCTTTCCCTAATAAGGTATGACCATTGGCTGTGAGTTCTGTGTGGCCAAAGCAAGGAATTAGTTGAGCCCGGTAGAGAAGTAGAGTGCCATGGGAGGGATGGCCACTTTCAGAACTGATATAAGGGTTAGAAAGAGGAGGCAGGTACAACCTGTACACTGTTTACATAAAGATACGGTACATCCAGGGCAAAAGGACACAAACCAGATACGAATGAAAAGAGGGAAAAGAGTCACCAGGGTGGGCAGGGAAATGAAGACAAAAGTAGTGCTGCTTACAAAGAAGGTCACTTCCAAAGATCACAAAGCCTGACTACCAGGACAAGAGCACCGGAAAACAGAGGCAAATTAAACAGAGAGACTGACAAGCCCTGCTCTCCAGCCATTAGTCTGTCCAGCAGACAAAACTGCAAAAGAACACAGTCTGGTCACTCCCAGGTGATCACTCAAGGATGTACACACTGGCCACGAATCGCAGCCCAAACCTCAAAGCCCTTCTCCACAGACCAAATTCTCCATCCACTGGGCATTTCAGTGAGAATTTGATGGATTGATGTTATATAACCAGGGAAAACCACTAATGCAGGCTAGAGGGTAGACCAGTGCTAACTTGGGTGAAGAGGCAGGCAATTTATAGTAAGATGGAGGTTAGGGCAAAAAGGATGGAGGCATGAGGGACCCTGGGAGATTTGTAAGAGTTAAAGCAACAGAGGTAATCTTCTTAAAGGCCTAATCCTGCAATCATGGGGATATACGAGTAGAGGCTGATCAGGGCTGGGAGGGAGAGTGGAAGGAGACTCCAAAGCGTATAGGGATTTGATAAGAGATCTGTGTGTGTATTTACTATTGCTGCAGATATAGCATGAATGTGGTGGAGCACACAAGAGGACAAAGGTATGAAACACCCAAACACACAGAGGAACGCATCACTGGGTCTGTGGGCTTAGGACTATCGTCTCGGAGGACGGACAGCTTGGTTTCAAGGACACTAAGGTCAACCCTCCACAAATGACAATGTCCTACTTTTGTGACTAGCAACTGGGATCACAACAGCTCATGAGCAGCCATCAAATGTGCAACTATTGGTTTCTGTCTTCAGAAAAGAGGAGTGACAAAATTCAAAGACACGTGAAAACCATGAATCCAATGAGGACCATGCGAACCTCAGTCTCCATATATCCCCGAGAGAAACAGATGGCGCCTGGCTCCCACTACCAGCTGCTCTGAAAGGGATCCCATCGTGTCAGAAAGTCTTGGAGAGAGTGGGAGAAAAGTGAAAGTGATCTGCTTGGTAAATCTCCACTGAAAAATCACAACTTTTCCCCCCAAAGAAAACCAAAAACAATGTGTTTGGAAAAGGGGGGGGACCCCTAATATGTTGTTGAAAGCAGAATCAAAGAGAAAGTTAAAAAACCTTTAGAACTGAATTACAGCTACATATAAAAACTTGCCGGGCTTCAGGTGCACAATACCCGAAGACTGACTTAAATGCTTACATTTGCGCCAGGGCCTATGGCCATGGGCTCCAACAGGGTGAGGATGGTGCAGGACCAGGTAGTGCTTCATTCTGGAAAAGTACTTAACTTCATACAGCATTTGGAAAGAAAGTTGGTTGCAAATCAATGAGCTAGGTTTATGTTTAAAGATATTACAAAAGCATCACAAAGAAAGTACTGCAAGAAAAGTATAAGAAATAAGATAAAACCCGAAATGAATGAATGAGTAGTCAGCTCATGGAAAGACTAAATTGTGGCCAACTTCTGGCAGCCGATGAAGGAAGGGGGGAAGGCAGCACAGGCAGATACTGGCAGAAGAGACCCAAGCCACACATTAACCATAGAAGAGAAAGATGGTAACACAAATATCCAAGGAGCCCATCAACAGAGGGTCTGAGCCAGAATGGTCAACGGTCCCAAGTTGGCTCACCTACATGAAGATAACCAGGTCACGAGGGGTCTTCACAGAGGGGTCTGGTGGCTGGACAGCAGTGTGGGGAGCAGACTGCGGGCGGCTCCAACCATTGGGTACACGAGGCTGGTCCTTTCTTTCCTGCTTCAATCTCTCCTAACTTGGAAATGGCATACCTTTCATCTTTTTGGCTTTATTTGCACCTCTTTGATGACCTTTCGTATCTTCACTAGCCATCTGGATCTCCCTTTAAGATTTCCTGCTTATATTCTTTGTTCAGCAGTGGTGACTGAACAAGTAAGTTCGTAATAGTCAGTAGTTTTGCATTCCAGCCTAGACTGAGAGGGAAATTGAAAACTCAGACCACCTGCACTCATAAGATTTTCTCCAGAACCAGCCTTGGATAAGAGCATTTCCACGCTCCTGCAGAAACCTGAAGCCCGGAGGGAGACCTGGATGGGACCTTACAGCCGAGCAGAGTTTCCGACCCAGACATCGTCCTCCTGTTCCCAGGCCCAGGAAGCTACCCCAAGCAGTCATGCCCTCAACAGACAGCTGCCAAGCAGTCTCCATGTGCCTAGCACAGTGGTTGGACTGAGGCTCTCTTTCCTGAAGCACCCAGAGTGGCGACCAGCAAAGCTTAGACTGTGCCACCTTCCCGAAGTAGTCCCAATCATGGAGCACTCATATCTTGACATACGTTCTCATTTAATGCTCAGCAACAGCCAAAGCAGCAGTTCCTGGCAGACGGCACTGAGGATGCTTTGGCTCAGCCCCTCCACTCTAGAGCCTGCTGTGACTGGAGGTTTGTCCATGGCCCACACCTGGGTAGCTGGTCTAAGTCCTGGAAACCAATGGTGCCACCGTCCATCAAAATGCAATTTCCTGGCAGTAGATCTGAAAAGGGGGAAAAGACTACAGAATTAGGCTCAGAAATGCAGCAACACAACAGGAAACATAGCCAAGGGGACAGCAAAATGGCTGTCTGGCTCAGGTGGCCATCAGTGATCAGTCACTACTGCTAGCTTACTGTCTCTAGTCTCATCATTGAGCCCTCACTCCAAGTGCTCAATGGTTGGGCCAGCATCCCACCCCCCATAGCAGGAGCCTGAGCTCACTAGCACACTGTATTTTCCAGCCTCCAAGGAAGGCTTAAAAACCTGTAATATGTAGATGACACAACCTTGCTTGTGAAAGCAAGGACTTGAAGCACTTGCAGATGAAGATCAAGGACTATAGCCTTCAGTCTGTATTACAACTCAACATGAAAAAAACAAAAATTCCCCACAACTGGGCCCATAGGTCATATCCCGATAAACAAAAGAAAGGTTGGAGTTGTCAACTATTTTGTCTTGCATGGATCCATAATCAATGCTCATGGAATCAGCAGTCAACAATCAAATGATACATTGGATTGGGTCCATCTGCTGCATAAACCTCTTTTGAGTACTGAAGAGCAAGCAAGTTACTTTGAAGACTAAGATGCGCCACACCCAAACCATGGTGTTTTCCATTGTGAAATTTGGACATGAAATCAGGAAGACCAGTGAAGAATCGGTGCATTTGAATGATGGGGCTGGCGAAGGATATTGAGCATACCATGGACTGCTAAAAGGACAAACAACTCTTGTCTTCGAAGAAGTACGGCCAGAGTACTGCTTCGAGGCAAAGATGGCAAGAGTTTGTTTCATGTTGTCAGGAGAGACCAGTCTTCACAAGAAGGAAATCAGTCTTGGAAAAGTAGGGCAGGGCAAAAGAGGAAGGCCCTTGACAAGATGGATCGACACTGGCTGCAATATTGGACTCATAAACAGTAGCGCAATCGTGAAGTTGGTGAACAATTGTGAAGATGGCTCAGGACCGGGCAGTGTTTTTGTTCTGTTGTGCACAGTTGTTACCAACTAGACAGGTACCTGTCAACAATAAACTGAGGCAGGTGATAACCATTGTGGCAAAAGATGTCAGTTGCTCACAGTCTTCACTCCCACTGCTCTTGCCTCTGAGATGTTGAGGCTGTTTGTCCCCCAGAACAAGGACTTGTTGAATGGGCCAGGAAGCCTGGGCTGGCAAAGTGCCCTTCTGCTTACCTACCCCTCCTTCGAAGATGATGGAGTAAGAGAAGAGCCATGGGTCTTACATTGTTATGGGCTACTGCAACATCCACGGGCAGCTACCTCAAGCTGTCATGTCATGCAGGAAAGAAAAACGTGTTTGTGCTTTGCTTCCTAGACTTTAATTTTGCTGCTGTGGCAAATATACACATAAACCATTCCGACAACTTCTCCCTGTGTCATTTAGTTAAATTGACATTCTTGCAGGCCTGTCTGGATAGGACAGGCTGGATGAACGATCTGGAGGAGAAAACAACGGGACTGACAGTTCCGGGGGGACATGGGAGAGGGGGAGGAGGGG